TTAGGGTAATTTTGGGGTGCCGATTCCAAATCTGGCATCGGTTTTTGTCTATCACATCAGGTTTTTGAGATATCAAATATTGCATTTTCAATAAAAACTGCAGAAGAAAAATATTAAATAAATGTGGATATATACATAAAATATTATAAACACACTATCCTAAAAATACAGCATCATATTTTAACACTAAAGCAGTCACTGACTCGCAACAACTTGCAATCATAAGTGACAGAGTTAATTTTGGGTAAAATCAATGAAAATGGGGTATGCCGATAGCATAAAAATGAGATGTGATAGAGCAAATCTGAGTTCAGATTTGGAATCAGCACCCTGAAATTAGCCTAAAGCAGCTGCAAAAGTCCAGGCCAGAAACATTTTTTTTTTGTTGACCAGTGTTATTTTACAACTACTCTAACCAGCACTGTATTGTGGGGGGGGGGGCGCTGATGAATCTAAAAAAAGGAACTCGACTGAAATGTACAAGTATTTAGTTTGTAAATATAGATTAATTATAAAACTACTGTACTGGTATTTTGGCATGTTATAATATATCTACTATTTGACAATTAATTTGATTACATTGCATCTAGTTAAGTAGACTCAACACAAATTATAAATCTTTAAACGATGAAAAAACCTCCATCATGTGTTGTTTGAAACCCACGTTTCAAACAACACATCATGGAGATGGAGGTTTCAAACAACACACAGCAACGTGTACAAGCAGCACACAGCCTTTGCGCACTATGCAAAAAAACATCAACAATTCCTGCAGATGCACATTGTGATTCTCTTCTGGCTTTTGGTTACCATCAAAATGACTTTAGTAAATGTGACCGACTGACAACAGCATTGACGCAGTCATGGACAACCGTTACTTCCATGGTGAACTCAGGCAATAGGGCCTCAATGCACTTCAAGGCATTTCGATGGCGTTTTCACGTTTAGTTTTGTCTCGTTTTAAACTCAAATTAACGCCCGACGCTGATAATAATATCCGTCGGCGGTCCTGAACCAAGCGACAGAGATTCCACATAACACATGGCAGGGGGGGGGGGGGGTAGAAGCCATACATCGAGACCGCTTAATTTCCCAACAAAACTGTGGTTAACATGATCGTCTCGGGACCGGATGGCGAGACTCGATTTAACAAAAGGGATTTGAACTCGCACGCGTTCGGCAGCGAGGTGGAGGTGTTTTCTTGAGTGCAGCGTCACCTCTGGCCGCATCGTAAACTTGCAAAGGTGCTGTACGTTTTGGGTTCATTTTAAGAGCTTCGTGAATACTCTTAGGTTTTTCGGTAAAGCCACGTAATAATAATAAAATAGAAATAATCATTTATTATTTTATTTATATTATTTATATTATTTTTTACCTACGTGACTTTACCGAAAAATCCAAGAGTATGAATCCTTGCAGTCACGAAAGCTTCAAATCTAGCTTAGTGAATATTTGGTGAAATTCGCGGTCGATGTATAATTAGTATATTCTTCGCAGCTTTTCTCTCTCTCTCGCATTTTCGCCTTTGAGCAGCTTGCCGGAATTCCGAGTAATGAGGATTGAAGCAAGAACACCGTAAACGAGGGGAAACCCTTTCGCGAATGAGACGTCGCCCTGTCATATTAGGGGTGGTGGGTACCCATCAAAATCATCATCGTAACAATCCTGCGGTTGACATTGTCCGCGTCTGATGTCGTCAATTTGAACCCCAGTGCCTTCCTCACCAGTCCCAGTAGCCGACTCTGCATTGAAGGTGACTGACAGTGGCTGGGTTTGGGGGGGGGGGCACTGGCGTTCATTAGGGGAGCTTGACCCCCCACCCCCCCACTCTACCCAAGCCTCTCCGCGTTTTCCTTCGACTCGCCACTGGGGTGACAGAGGTCACAACGGAAAGTTGTGCTCGCGTATCGCATCAATCAGTGCTCAAACAGCGAAGGGAGGGGGGAGGGTAACTCATTAACGAAGCACTTTATCCACGGGCAGGGTCGCCAAACAATCATTAACAAGGGCACGGTGCAAACTTGACAGATATTGGGCGGTTAATACTCCCGGTTAAGAGACGTTTTACCTTCATCCCATCGTCCCACGCACCACCGTTCACGGAACTTAACGCGATGGAACTCGCGGTCCAGACTGTGTACACATCATCGTCGTGAGATGAACTACTGTTGCCCACCCCTCAAGGTCACGGCGATGTCACAATCAACCTAATTTCTTGCACGCGAACTGATCGCCAAGCTCATTCTCCGTCCACTCCGACGAATTATTTCCATAAGCCGCAACGAGTTTTAACCCATCGTCCATACCATCTCGCGATATCGTCTTGCCCGAGCTAAGTTTTTTTTTTAAAGTCAGGATGTTCCATTTGCGTGTGTTCCCTAATCAATCCTGTGTTCCGTGTATTGTTTAAATGTGCGCACTATCACACTAGGGGTAAGAAAACGCCGAATATATACGGGCCCTGCCCGGAAGGAAATACAACTCCCTATAATCAAGTGGAATTCGCGAGGTTTTAGGCCGCGAAGTTGAACTCCAATACGGGGAATTAGCGACAAATTAAACACGACCTTAATCTCATGTATACGCCCGACAATAACACCATTCACGAGCCGCAGTTTTACGCAGTAGTACAACTACTGTACCCAGGGTGGAAGAGAGGGGGGGGTCAACACGGACGTGTTAAATTGAAACTATTTTGGCCACGTTGAGTTACCGCTTCCAAGTTACGGACTGTACTACGTTATACCGTAAACAACCATCTACGCACGCATTAGAAATGGGTCATCGCTTTTTCCGTCTGTCCCCCCCCCCCCCACATCGTCGATGTGCAGCAACTGCAGCAGCGACAGACATCCCAGTGAGCACACGCGCCACGAGCCATAGGCTCCACAGACTACGACTGTAATCGCACGCTTTGCGCAAGTTTTCTGCTTACACATTTAGGCGCTAAGATCAACAGTGTTACATCATAATAGGGGGCAAGATTAACACATTTGCGAAACGGCTGAGAAACTCATCGCTTTGCCGATTTGACCAACCTGGTCGTGGAGACACGTGGGGTTGGGGCCACGTTTCCGTAAAAAATGTTTTTACTTTTTGCCAAACACGTGAAACTCATCCAGGATGTGAATGCACGAAACGGCGTAGCGCAACGCACGCGCAAAACTCTGCAAGGCACATCACGACACGCACTTCCCCCCAAGACGCGTTTGCTTCTAGTACAACTTTCAAAACCCGCCATCATACGTGTAGCAATGCAGTCCGTGATTACCAACATATTTCTCTCGATTGGAAACTTTGGGAAAAGTTCCCTTAAGTGTAGTTTAATATATATACACACACAAGCGGCCACCGGTACAGTACTTGAGCTAGCAAAGCAATAATCATGGGCTCTGCTGGCCTGCCAATTCGCTTTTGGGACAAAGGCTCAAGACCCACTCCCACTTTCCCGACCACATTGCCTCCCTCCCTCCCCCACTCATAAATCCAGCCGTCTCCCCACCCCCCATCTCCATTCGTTCCGCCCGCCCCCTTCATAAAAAAATCGCAGTCGCGAATCTTGAACAGTTCAGGCAGGAGGAGGAGCCCCTTTCACTCGGCTGCCACGCCGCAAGTTCAGGAAATGTGTTTACGATCCGGACCACCTGGGTTCGATTCCCAACTATGGGGAGATTTTACTGCACAAACCTGTCCCTACGCCTCCCAGGAGGTGGGTTCAGCCTTGCACAAGGCATTTGCTGCTGCCGTGTGTATCGGCGTGGAGGCGACAAATGCGGCTGGACGTGTCTCTTTGCCACGGGACACGGGAGTGTGTTTTGGGCCTCGGTGCTGCTGTGTGAGAGCTCCTCGCTAACATCCTCTAACATCTGTAAAGACGGCCAGCTTTGACTTTGGGAAGTTCCGCTTCCAAAAGTGAGTGTCACGGTGGGGCCAGAACACACCAGAATCCATGTGCGGGTCAGGAGGGGGGCCCTGTTTGCCGTCTCGCCCGCACCAAATGTGTTGTTAACATCATAATCTGCTCACAGCAACAAAAACACGTGGACGGAAAACCGCTGCTGGCGTGCGCGGGGCACCGATAAGAGGGACGCGCAGCGAGGCGTAGAAACCAGAGCGATGTACAACAACGCAGACTACGACAAGCTCTAGACTCGTGTGTGTGCACACACCCAAGCCACGACTTACAACAGCACTGTATTCTACGATCAAGTAAGCAGCAGAACTCTGGTTTCAGTGAACGTCATAACACCTGTACACGACCAAGTACGAGACCCGAATTATTGTAACTCGAAATCGAACACCCTCGTGGACAATGCTACAACTAATCCGGGGCACCCACGGTAATTTGTGTAGACGCAAGCCACAACAACGCGTGTGCAAACAGCCTAACAAGCACAACACAGTAGGCTGTGCATCCATCCAAATAGTGGTGTCACACACCGCACACACATTGACACGCTCGTTCATTGCCTTCGTGGAAAGAGAAAAACAACTGTCCACAATCTTGCAATGGACGCGATTCACACACACAACACAAACAACAACAAGCCACAAACGTGGAGTCGCCGAAACTTTTTAAGCGACGATCAGCATCTCTCAGGGCGAATGCTCTCTAAAGGGTGGTGGAACCCGCCCGTGTGTTTTAAGAGTTTTGTTTGGTGGGGGGGGGGTGAACGACGAAGAGGAGGAGGAGTTGGGGAGGGAATGACACACAAGCTTCAGGAAACAAGGCAAAGGGGGCAGAGTCCCCGGGCACCGTAAACTCAAAACGAGTTGGCCGATTTGTGCGTGGCCGACTTTGGGCGGCGGCCACGCTTTTTCTTTTAACCAATAGCGAGCCAAAGTTATGGTGATTTGAATCGTGGAGAACGATGGGTGACCGGCGTGGGGCGGTGTTCTCACCACGCATTCGCTAGTCCGCCCACGAACACCTCGAGTGACGCCCATCTCAACCCAAAACCAACCATCCCCCCCGTGCCATCAGCCACTCCAACCACAACCCAGAGGGCCGGCCCTTGTCGCCCGCCCGCCCGCCCGCCCTCACCGCACCCCACCCGGTAGAGAGGCTATTTATCGGCCGCGAAGTTAAACTTCGCGATTCAGCCCGGCTCAAACAAGTTGCACTAGTTTCTTATTTTATTTAACGCACGCACGCAAAATTGTCACCGTGTTTGACACCCCTATCCCCACCAACGCGCCGTCACTGTATTGGGGAATTAGCGACGAGCGCGCGTGTTTAAACAACAACTCCGCCATGTCTACGGCGCTCCTGTCGCCCTCGTACATGGACGTCGGGGACATATTCTACAAGGTAAGAACGCAAACTCGCTTTTCTGTTCTTTCCCATCGCTCTCTCCCTCCACGCCTGGGCTTGTCAACCAAAGTCAAACTTGCTCTCCCACCCCCCCTCTTTGCAGCCGCTTTCACTCAACCCGCACCACGATGCCCCACAGCGCGTGTCGCTCCCTCCCCAAGTCTGCGAAACCCGGACAACTTTTTGAAAAGTCGCGTTGCCACCTCTCACGGGGCGCGCTCTCTCTATTTCGTTTTTAAAACAAGCAACTTTAAACTTTCTTTGCAGGAGAACGACAACAAGGGCTTGAACTTAAACGCGCTCGACAGGAGAGCGGTGGGCACACCGACGACGGCCACGCTCCCACGCCGCCATTCCTCCAACAACATGCTCGCCCTCGCAAACTCGGCGCACGCGTCTCTCTGCGCCAACAACATCGGCGGCGTCGGTGTCGGAGGCAACGGAGGAGGAGGAGGCGGCAACAACAACAAGTTCTCCATGTCCGCGCTCAAAGACAGCACGGCGCTCATGAACAGAGAGAATCGCTTCCGAGACCGCTCTCTGAGCGAGGGCGGCGACCACTCTGCCATGATCTTGGCTCCCAGCGGCAAGCAGCAGCACCAGCAGCAGCAGCAGACGGCTCAGACAGGCGGCGGCGTGGGCATGGTCAACTCGAGTCGCTACAAAACCGAGTTGTGCCGGCCCTTCGAAGAGAACGGCGTCTGCAAGTACGGCGACAAATGCCAATTCGCGCACGGCGGCCACGAGCTGCGCAGTCTGGTACGGCACCCCAAGTACAAGACCGAATTGTGCCGCACTTTCCACACCATCGGCTTCTGTCCCTACGGGCCACGTTGCCACTTCATCCACAACGCCGACGAGCAGCGCTCGCCCACCGCTCAGCAGCCGCCGCTGTCCCCGTCGCTGGCAGGGAGCGGCCCCCATCAGCAGCGCACCAGGGGGCCTCGTCCACGACTCAACCACAGCGTGAGTTTCGCCGGCTTCCCCAGCGCCGCGATGGCACGACGCCTCGACTCGCCGCCGCCGATGGGGGGGGGCCCTCTCGACAACTCGCTGTCGCTCACGCCTCCGCCCATGTCCACGGCCGGCTTCTTCGGAGACGACTACATGATGTTGTCGTCGCCAATGTGCACCAACAACACGCCGTTCTCATTCAGCCAGGAGCTGTTCTTCAGTGCGGCCATGTCCGGCGCGGGCACGGGGCTGCCTCTCCACACTGGTGGTGGTGGCGGTGGTGGCGCAAATATTGGCCTCGGTTGTGGTGGTGGCGGTGGTGGTGGTGGCGGCTTGGGGCCCCTGGGCACGCCCGGAGCTGCTCGTGGCCTGTCGGGGTCGCCTGTGTTTGAGGCGTCCCTCGACTCGCTGTCCGACCCGGGGGATGGCTACTCCAGTTCGGGGGCCTCGAGTGGCTCCGAGTCGCCCCTGCTTGATCCCAACCGCAGGCTGCCCATCTTCAGCCGCCTGTCCATCTCCGATGAGTGAAGCGAGCGGTGTTGTCCGGGGGGGGGGGGGTGCTAATAGCCCCCCACCCCCCCCCCCCCACACTGCAACCACATCGCTGCCTTGTGTTCGTCTCTGCCCCCTTCATACCCCCCAAACCACTACTACCAAGGCTCCCTTTGTGATAAGACCCGGGCCAAAAGCCGACGAGGCACATTCTCTGGGTGACGGGGGATACCATTCGACGCATTCGTTTTAAAAGGATGGGTTTTGTTGATCCCGAGTAAAATGGTTAGTCCAGGGCGAAGTGTGTAAGGAGTTTTATAAGCGAGATTGCCTTATAGCGCGCACATCGTGGCCTCGTGACAAACACGCAACTTTTTATTAGTACGTATTTGTCCCTCAATAATTACTTGCATTAAAGGTTAAACAGCATTAAACTGCCTATAACGTATATACTGTATGTATACATTTTAGCGTATGGGCGAGGCCACGATCCTATCACCGTATGTGCCTAAAACAGGAGTCGGAGTCGGTGTAATTGGTGTCGGGGATATAAGACTTAACATTGCATGCAGTTGCTAGATCACTGTTTCTTTATAGCAATAATGACGATAGACGAGCAGTTAATTTTTTTGTACAAGTTGAGTACCACGTGAGCCCTGTGTGTTGCCCACGTGGTGGTGGTGGTTGCAAGTTGTTTTTGCCCGTGCCCCCCCCCACCACCAAAGTTTGCCTCCATCGGCCAATTTAATATTTAACCGGTCACGACCCCGAGCTGAGAAAGGTGGTGGTGGTGGGGTGAGTGCCATAACATTTCGCCCGATGCAGTTAATATAGATACTGTTTGCAGCGGCAACAGCCAAAGGCGATCTCGCTGCGTGGGCAAATCTTGCTCGCAAGTTGTTGTTTTTTCCAACTTTCGAGGCCGATGTTTTTTCGAAAATCGGGTGGGTGGTGGGTTGGGTGGCGCTGGTGGCGCCCTCTGCAGAACAAAGTGGCCTCACGTCGCAGCCGTGGTGGGTTCACGAATACTACGTTGATTGTACACACGAAAATGTTGTGAATCTAACGTTGTTTCTCTTTCTCACACACACACACACAAACTTTTTCTTTGCTGACGGGAAAAAAAAATATGCACTCGCTTTATTGAGTCGTTCTTCCAACCGATATGCTGAGCATTGATTTATTTGTTTTTAACGTTTAGAGTTAATGAACCTTTTTCGCTTGTCAGCGTAAATGAGAAGTTGTGGAGATCCCTATTTAACTTATTTATTATACAAAACGTATCTCTGTTGGTATAAATTTTCTATTTATCAGGTATGATGACGCGACAGATGTATATTCTTTTATGTTAAATTATACTCGCCAGCCTAAATCGATTCTTTTCCCGCAATTTAGTTGCGGGGTGTTTAATGCCCTGCGCACAGGTAATATATATTAAAATAACGCTGAGTTTTGTGCTTTTTGTAACGTTCACCTGGTTATTTTATTGTGAATGAAAAGTTAATTTAAAAGTAATATTTATTTTTCGTTCATTTTGTTTACGATAATCGAACAAGATTGCATGGTTAGCTCTCTTTTTTTGCCTTTGGTGATAGTCGGTGGTGTGTGTGGATTTACCCCCCCCCCCCTTGTAATGACAACCATGCCAAATGAACAAATACTGTGCGGGTCCGACCCTGCCGGGGTCGACCGTACCCACCGCGCAGGGGATGGATACCTCCAGCCCCCCCCACACCCCCCTCCAGCGAGCCCCCCCATCCCCCCCCCATCCCCCTCCAGCGTGCCCCCCCATCCCCCTCCAGCCCCCCCATACCCCCATGCTTCCGTCACTTTTGGTACATTCCAGAGCGTTGCCTTACATAATATAAAATACCAATAGTTACGAATACGTTTTATACGGTCGTTGAAATAATTGTATCATTTTCAAGCCTAACAAAAACTATGCAAGGCATGTTTAGTTCTTGTATAATTTTGGAGGAGGGGGGGTGAGAGTTGTGATTGCGCTGTTCACTACAGTTTGATATAGCCACCATGTTGTATCTTGTAATAAACGTAAAACAAAAATTAATCCCTCCACGCGAAGCGAGTGGGATGTGTTTTATTTGGAGCGTGTTCTGAGCGAGTCTGGGAAGAGACCGGGTGACGCATTCGGGGGCCTGAGAAGGACGCAATCAATCACGTTGAAGCCTTGGGGGGGGGGGGGGGGGGGCGAGGCTTGTGAGCGCGCCGGCTGACGTGGCGCTGGGCTGGAGAATGGAGATGTTGGGGGGGGGGGAGAGAACTCTGCAGGGGGGGGGGGCCGCCGCCTATTTCGCGGTGGTGGTGGTGGTGGGGGTCCCTCTGCGCATGGCTTGTGCGTAATTAAACCTCACGTGTAAAGCTCACAAGCCTCGGGGTCACTTAACATATTGTGTGGTGCGGCACACTGCACCGGTGCCAGTGTGCGAAGCCAACTTTAAATTAAAAGTTTTGATGAAGTGAACTTTCACGAAGTTTGTGAACGCGATACATTGGCCACATCGGTTCTGGCGTTGGGTGACCCGGGTGTGATGGCTCCCCCGGCTATATCGAGTTTCAACTTTAACCGTCACGATCACGGCACATGGATATTTGCTTGGTCGCCTTCGCACTGTTATTCGCAACATGTGTTTCTCTTCAACTAAAGTCCACAGTGACTGATTTTCGTTGTGGGTCCACCATAACGTCAAGCTGTTAATACGCGCAATGGCAGAACCACGAAATATGTGCGCGCGTGCACACTTTGCCAAAACCCATGCATAAATTATCTCTGTAAAAACAACTCGTCAACCTTGAGAGCCAAAGGAAAGTTTTTTTGGTGGGGGGGGGGGGGTTCAGGGGGGTAGGAATGAGCAATTAACAAAGATGAAGAACACATGTTATTGTGCCCTAGCTGTTTCTTTAATAGAGTTCCACCATTCCATAAACAAAGTGCAAAAGGAAAAATAAACAATTTCCTAGACCATGAACTCTGGCTAGAAAATAAAACAACCGCCGGCCACGAGAAGTAACAACAAGTGGCGCTGGCTCCGTTCTCGAGGCTCTTCACAAAAGCTTCTCACGAGGTCCAGCAGTGGTGTTTGTTGAAAAAAAAATGCTAATTTAGGGGCTTTATGTGCCAATTTTTTTTCATTTAAACTTCACGAGATACATCACCATGCGGGACAATCTTAGCGTCTTCCTGTACGAAATGCACTTCTGCGCAAGTGCCTGACCACAGAGTTCCGAGTGTTGATGTAAAAGGATCACACACACACACGGGTGTGGCTTGCTCCGTTTGAGAGCGGACTTGTGTTGAAGCCACAATTGTTTGGTAAAGAAGAGCGACTTGGGAATTCTGGACTTCCAAGTAGTTTGTCCTTTCGACGTAAATATGTCCAGGTTTGGCCTAAGTTCGGTTGGCTAGTGGTGCACCGTGGGCTGTTTTCACGACCCACCCTCAAGCTAGTCAGATGTCAAAGCAACAGTCCAGTGAAGTGCGAACTCTTATTGGCTGGAGACCTGGATCGGTTCCTTCCAAAGCATCCGTTGGGGCATCCGCAGCATCTGAAAGTTCAAAACAAAACACGCTTTCACAAGGCGACATGTGCGCAGAGATACGAAGCCCCATCAGCAGAACGGGCGCTTTGTGGAGGGATTGTATTGCCTTGGTAATGAGGCAAGGTACAGCAATTAAGCCTCAATCTGAAATGCCAACAGAAAGGCAGCAGCTTTAGAGACTTAAAATGCCTTTCAGGCAGATCACCATTGTTCTGTTCCTTAGGTTTTAATTACAATAAAGCTCCAGGGTGATGGTAATCAGTGGTTTCCACTAAACGCAACATCATGTGTTAACTTTTACAAGCAGTAAGTAAAACCACAACCCAACTGCCCACCCGCATAACATGCCGTACATATTATAATGTATGCAAATAAATTAATAACAAAATTGCTTTGGAAGAAGAAAAAGGCCCTTTCAGCCTGCAATTTGGCGCATCCTGTTAAAGAGATCCAAAACTCTCCCTCCATTTTTCCTACAGGGCCACCAATCTCCTTGACTGCCAAACTGTTAACACAGACGTCCTTACATGTGCCCGGCCGATGCGTCCCATCCATTACCACCCAAATGTATTGTTCACCGACAACACGTACGACTGCTTTTTTAAATAACTCGATTGGCACTGCATCTTCACGGAGCACACAGCGCAGACTGGCAAGTCATCGTAGTGATAAGCTCAGCAGCCATTTGTTTAAAACAACCACGACTTGTTTAACTCCTCTTGCTCCTGCAGAGCGCGGCACAATGCAAAGGCTAAATATACTGGCAGCGGGCATACACGTGTAATGTGATATTTTTACATTCCTATGCTTCAACAACAAACACAATACAGTCACTTTTAAAGGGCCCTTGCTTAACACAGGCACATCCTCCGTAGTGAGGTGGGGTGGGGTATTAGATGCACACCATGGTTATACTGTACAAAATAGTGGGACACAGTACTAAATTAGCGTGTTAATCTGAGCGGAAGTTGCCTAATGAGAGGTTACTGATGAATTTGTTTGAAGGAATGGATGCTCCAGAGACGAGCCCAACCCTTTCCTGTTTACAAGATTTTCCAGACCTGAGATCTGATCTCCCCGAGGCCCTGCACACCTCCCACGCAGCACCCCACCCCCCCAGCCGAGAGGATAGCAGCCCAACACACAACTCTAAAAAGGTAGTCAACTGCACACTTACGTATAGGCACTAATCACTGTCAAGATGCTGGCATCAACAGAGATCGTATCTCCTTTGGAAGGGGTTGGCGGAAACTATTCGGTGGTAGACTCCGATGACTCAAAACAGTTTCAAGTCAAATACGGAATGCAATATGAGAAGCCATGACGAGCACTGTGATTAAATATTGTAGACTATGAGACATCTCCTTTACCAGTGGCAAAATATAGTGATAGGTTTTTACCCTTTAAACTGGTACAAAAACTGACACCTTTATACAAGGCATCATGTTTGCAATAACCACAACACAAGCAGTCAAAATGCAAACAAAAAGAAAGAACTCTGATAATCATATGCACTGTCTTTGAAGTTGATTGGTCCACACCCGAGACAGCTTTTCTTAAAGCCTAGTCTCCATTGGTGTTGGACCAGATGACGCCAAAAGCGTACATCTCAAAAACAGTGCACTATCAGAGTATTGAGAGCTCGGGGTAAGCATTTACACTATGAGACATCTCCTTTACCAGTGGCAAAATATAGTGATAGGTTTTTACCCTTTAAACTGGTACAAAAACTGACACCTTTATACAAGGCATCATGTTTGCAATAACCACAACACAAGCAGTCAAAATGCAAACAAAAAGAAAGAACTCTGATAATCATATGCACTGTCTTTGAAGTTGATTGGTCCACACCCGAGACAGCTTTTCTTAGAGCCTAGTCTCCATTGGTGTTGGACCAGATGACGCCAAAAGCGTACATCTCAAAAACAGTGCACTATCAGAGTATTGAGAGCTCGGGGTAAGCATTTACACTATGAGACATCTCCTTTACCAGTGGCAAAATATAGTGATAGGTTTTTACCCTTTAAACTGGTACAAAAACTGACACCTTTATACAAGGCATCATGTTTGCAATAACCACAACACAAGCAGTCAAAATGCAAACAAAAAGAAAGAACTCTGATAATCATATGCACTGTCTTTGAAGTTGATTGGTCCACACCCGAGACAGCTTTTCTTAGAGCCTAGTCTCCATTGGTGTTGGACCAGATGACGCCAAAAGCGTACATCTCAAAAACAGTGCACTATCAGAGTATTGAGAGCTCGGGGTAAGCATTTACACTATGATACATCTCCTTTACCAGTGGCAAAATATAGTGATAGGTTTTTACCCTTTCAACTGGTACAAAAACTGACACCTTTATACAAGGCATCATGTTTGCAATAACCACAACACAAGCAGTCAAAATGCAAACAAAAAGAAACAACTCTGATAATCATATGCACTGTCATTGAAGTTGATTGGTCCACACCCGAGACAGCTTTTCTTAGAGCCTAGTCTCCATTGGTGTTGGACCAGATGACGCCAAAAGCGTACATCTCAAAAACAGTGCACTATCAGAGTATTGAGAGCTCGGGGTAAGCATTTACACTATGAGACATCTCCTTTACCAGTGGCAAAATATAGTGATAGGTTTCTACCCTTTCAACTGGTACAAAAACTGACACCTTTATACAAGGCATCATGTTTGCAATAACCACAACACAAGCAGTCAAAATGCAAACAATGGAGACGGAGACTAGGCTCTTAGAAAAGGACAGTGCATATCATTATCAGAGTTGTTTCTTTTTGTTTGCATTTTGACTGCTTGTGTTGTGGTTATTTTAAACATGATGCCTTGTATAAAGGTGTCAGTTTTTGTACCAGTTGAAAGGGTAAAAACCTATCACTATATTTTGCCACTGGTAAAGGAGATGTCTCTGTAAATGCTTACCCCGAGATCTCAATACTCTGATAGTGCACTGTTTTTGAGTTGTACGCCTTTTTGGCGTCATTTGGTCCAACACCAATGGAGACTAGGCTCTAAGAAAAGCTGTCTCGGGTGTGGACCAATCAACTTCAAGGACAGTGCATATCATTATCAGAGTTGTTTCTTTTTGTTTGCATTTTGACTGCTTGTGTTGTGGTTATTGCAAACATGATGCTTTGTATAAAGTGTCAGTTTTTGTACCAGTTGAAAGGGTAAAAACCTATCACTACAAAAGATTGTAGATTACGATCTCCGTGATGATGCACCGGAGTATTTAATTTGCACGTGACGCGTCTTACTTCGTGCCAAAAGATGCTCAAACCACAGTTTTTCAAAACCTCCAGCGAGTTCCCTTCTCAGACAGCTTTATTGCTAGTTAATTGATTTCTGTCTCATGTTTAGACTGGGAGATGAGAAAAAAATAGACAGACTTCACAAGGAGGAGGAGGGGGTGGGTGGGGGGCTGCAAAGATTTAATTGAAACAACATGAAACAGGCTCCCGGCATCACGACCCGGCCATGTGCTTCACACCCGCTGAGGGCCAAAAAGTGTCAGGTTTCCGGGGACAGGAATAGTCTATCCCCAGCGAGTTCCTGGAAAATCCAGGCCTCAAGCCTGTCAGAATGCGGGTCACTCGGTGGTGCACATAAAACACACCAGCAACGCAAGAACGATGCCAATGTGGAGCCGTACAAAGGGCTCTGGCACTGGAGGGGGGGGGTGGTAGAATCTACTTTAAAGATCTGCCCCGTAGCTTGACTGCATCATTTTGTTCAGCCCAGGCGAGTGTTTGTTTTTCATAAAAATGCTGGGACTTCTTCAATGAGAGCCTGGGTTTCAGGTGGTCGCAGACCACGATGTAATTACGAATGAACTACAATAGATACAGGCGTACATACGTAAGAAAAAGCACAAGGCAGCCTGGTTGACGTGACACCATAACCCACACTTAACTCGCACACAAGAACACAATTATATGGGCTGAAAATCGGAGTTGCACTCCATTTTCAGTAACTTAAAAGACCGTGTCACACACAAAAAACTCTTGTAGATGTACGCCTGTGCTTTGTCTTGGGTTGTCAAACATATTCAAAGCATCATTAACGAAAAAAATACTTTCAAGTTACAAGAACAAAGTTTTTAACTTAATGCCGGGCAGTGCCGGGCACAGCAAATCAGCCTGTCGCCAAGACGGCAGCTACAGTAACTTTGTTTTTGGTTGCCTTCAACACAAACTCTGCTGACACATGCGGGCGCGTGTGAACACTGGCGTGCACAAGCACAGACAACGAGAAACACTCGGCATGTCTGAATTGAAGCCCCGTGAAAATCCAGGGAAACAAAGACACCATATACAAACAAATGCATACCAACACACACTTGTACACAGAAGCAGCAAAGTAACTGTACCGGATGACACACTGACAATGGCATGTTCTGAGAAATCCAAAACCAGCGGAGCACGTCCTTCACACTCAGTCACCGAGGGCAGATCTTTATTTTAAAACACAAACATTTTTCAACCCTACGCTGCAACAGCCAGTGGGCCCGTCTCAGTTATAAGTGGAGTCACCGAAGACAGCAAGGAGCAGAATGCAACACACAACCGAACCTCTGTAATTCATTGTGCTATGAATATACATTCTGGTAATCCATCAACAGATTATGAAGGCTATTTGTTTTTTTCAATCCACAGTGAAGGAAAATGAATGCATTTAGTATGCATGCTCCTAATTGTATGCACACACAGAAAGTGTCTGGCTTTTCAGTTGCCAGAGGATGGAATGATATCCACAATTAAAATAAATCTAAAACTTAAGTGGATGAGAATAGTCTGCACACTGGGGAGCAGGCTGCAAGCGTTCATTTGGCACAGCACAAATTGATAAGCACCTGTTACATTTCCAGATTGTCCTCGCCGTACTAGTACAGCACATGTAACAAAGAGGTCAGCCTGGCTGGCTCGCGCTTGCATCTCATCTCAAATGTGTTGGCTGGCACAGATCCACGCTATTTGCAAGTGTGGTTAGTAACTT